TGGCCTTTGTCTTCATAGATCTTTAACAACCCATCTAGATCCTCTACCTCAGCACAGGTGATAAATTGTTTTGTCCACCTTTTTCTGGGACAAGTCCCTCAGAAACCCTTAAAACCGATTAAAATGATTGTTTTACCAGGTACAAACCGGGCCTTGCTTATGCAGTCGAACATCTTGCCATGTTCAAAGATGAAAGAGCCTATTTTGTCTTTGCCATTAGGAGTCTAGGGTCCAAGTCTAAATGTGTGCTGATGATCAGCTTGTTTAAATTGAAATACAGTTTTAAATTATTTTGCCTGTTGTAATTGGTCAGCATTTTCTCCCCATTTCTTCTTTTTGAATCCATTTACGTACTGTATAATGGTTCATTCCTTTCCAATCTTTCAGTTTTCAGCAGGAAACAAAAGCACATACAAATCATTTTGGAAATATCCATGATTCCCTGATTAGATTCTACTTCACTTAAAATTGGTTAGCTCAATTTAAGTCAGTTTTAGCTTATATATATATATATATATATATATATATATATATATTTTTATATATATATATATATATATATATATATTTTTTTTTTTTTTTTAAGATTCATCATGTCTTTTTTGATATAGATGCACATAGTGTTGAAAGACTTGGACATTTTATTTAAAGTTTTTTAATATAAAGTTTTATTAATGCCTTTTTAGCATACTTATTTTTATATAGATACTATTACAACATTACTAGTTCATCAAGTGGAAATTGCTTAGTAGATTAACAGCTGTATCTGTTCAATAGTGACTGTGTAATCAGCTGCTTAATATACATACCACTGCAGCCTGTTAAGCAGAGATCATCAATACAGGAACTGTTACGCCAATGCGGGTTATTTTGACATTCAAACCGATTTTTGAAGCAGATATAGATTTTTCTTCTTCCATTTACATGTACATTTACATCCATTACCTGGATGACAGAATATTCACCAATATATCCACTTACATGGAAAAAAAACAATGATAACAAATATTACAGTAAAGGGCAAAGTAACTTTTGTTTCCACACAGTGATATCCCAAACATCCATCCATTTTCTGTCATGTTTATCCCTACTGGGGTCGTGAGGGGTGCTGGTGCCTATCTCCAGCTGTTTAAGGGCTAGAGGCGGGGTACACCCTAGACAGGTCACCAGTCTATCGCAGGGCAACACAGACACAAACAGGACAAACATCCATTCACGCACACACTCACACTTAAAGAGAATTTAGAGAAGCCAATTAACCTAACAGTCATGTTTTTTGATTGTGGACGGGAGCTGGAGTATACGGAGAGAACCCTTACATGCTCAGGGCAAACATGCAAATTCCATGCAGAAAGACCCCGGGGCAGGGAATCAGACCCGGAAAGAAAGAAACTATCTTTGTGGAAGCTTTATTTTTTTGTAAATGCCAGTCTGTTGTGGTGACCCAAAGGAAAATATTTAACTGTTTATTGTCAAGGTATTTGAGATGTCAGCTACCTTTTTCCTGACACTGGTCTTGTACAAGTTTTGTATAGCGGAGGGGTCAGCACTGATTATGCACTGTGCAGACTGGTTTGCATAATGCTGTCTGGGCCTGTCATGTTTTTCTGGCTGAGCCACAAAACTAAATAATGGCCAAATATGGCAGAATACATTATGGCCCTTTTTGAAAACCAGAAAAAATTAATTATTTATTTTTTATAATTTTTTTTTTTTAGTTTTGAAAGAGTAAACAAGTACAATTTTTGTAATGCCCTGATACCTATAACAAGCCTGTGTCTTTCAAATTTTTTTTTTATTAAAGTTAAATCATTATGTGAAACAAGTAAAGACTAATAATTATTTTGTTTTATTGTTTTTTTTTTTTTAAAGGTGACTGTTTTAAAACCCCAAAAAGTAAAAAAAAAAGAATGGACCTGGGAATCAGAAGCCGTGTGGGAAGCTGTATTGTAATTATCACATTTCTAAGTATATTCAAATAAAAGTAAATTATATAAGGACCTTAATGTACTATTATGATAAATTAGGAAAGGGAGAACCTGAGTTGTTGCCCTGTTTTATTGACCAATTCAAGCAAAAGACATCATTGGCAGACATTTTTCTGTTTTACAGCAATCAAATAGCCTTCAGTTTTAAATAATTCTAAATAAAACTATTTTTGAATTTTAAGAAATGAAGAACATTAACAGACACAATAGGGTGAATGTTTAAGAAATTCCACTTCTGGGTATTGTTAAGCTGCTATTGATAATGTTAGCATCTGCTTTGTAGTTTCATGCAGCACTTAAATGTTGTTGTTTTTTTCTTTTTAAAGAATCTAAAGCAGTTTGGAGACTATTTAGTTTAGAATTAAAATGGTCACCAACTCTAAACTAATGACTTACCTGAAAGGACAGTTCTTAAAAAAACTGACGTGTAAAAAAATTGAAAGTGTAAGATTAGATGATTTACAGTTTTATAAACCAGTGGGATGTTCTTCAACTATAAGTACAGCCCCTGCTGTGTCCTCCTAGTCAGGGATGTGAGGGAATAGAGTCTACAGCGTTTAGCATCTCGAACCTCTTTGAACTGTAACAGTCGTAATAAGTCTCTGTCCCAACAACTAAATGCTTCCTCCTTCTACAACCATAGTGGTCTGATTTCAGCCATTAACAAGGGTTTATCATTATAACACGAGTGCATATTGGTAAACAGTGTCTTTACAAAGGTTTATGTGGAACATCACAACAATTGTTTACTCATCCAGATTGTTGATAGCAGTCCTGAAACCATCCTAGTCAGTGCACTTCAAGCATGCCTGAAGATCAGCTATACTGGGTTTACAAAGTAGGTTTACTAAAAAGTCTTAAGTTTTCTAAACCTGAAAACAGAGAAACTGACTATTCCGTTTCACAAAGACTCACAGTCACCATAGTAACATTCTCCCCCAGGTTTTTGAGAGCTGAAACCTGAGTCCACCTCCTCTGTTTAAGGTTGATTTTTCCCTTTTAACATAAATGGATTCCTTTTAACATAAATGGTGATATAGTTGATTCCTTCCCAATACCATCTTAAACCCCATTGCTATGCAGGGGAACAAAATACCTTGCAGGTCAGCCAACAATAACCCTTTAGGACTGTCTTTTCAGAGGAATGGGCCAGTATCAGGTATTGCAGGCCAATATGTACTTTAACGGCTCCCATTAATAAGGGTTGGAGCTGGTTTTCCAGTTTCAATGTGCATGTTTTCTAAGCCATCACAAGGCTTTTGGGCTACTCTATAAAAGCCTGGAACACTTCCTGGATTGGAAGAGAAAAGTCTTCACACTTGGAAAACAAAGTCCAGTGGTTTGTTTTTTAAACCTTAACTTTTTGACTATGACCTGGATGAATGAGAATCTCCACCAGGAGATGGACCATTATGTTACTCAGAGAAGAGTGCAAAACACTCACCACTCACAGTTGTGTTGTAGCAGTCTGATGGTTTTCCTTCTCTGGTTGGACACATTAGAAACTTTGTTGTTGGCGAGTTCTTGGCTAAGGTCACCAAGAACAATGACAAGGGATTCCAGGTTCATCTGCTCCACTGACAGGGCCTCGTCAGGGATTATGCAGTGTGCCTCATGCTCATGCATACTGGCCAGTGGTGAAATATGCAAACCAACCATGGCGAGACAGACAAAAGGTTGTTAACTGTTATTTTAATACTCTAGATTAGGATAGCAGTGCTACATCACTCTCTCATCGGTATACCAGTTGCTCTTAATATAGAAACAGATACCCCTGCCCTTGGAGAATGCTTTGACTATTTCTGGTCTGAACAGCTAGAAGTCAGCCAGATGGAGTGCAGAGTTCGGTTTGGACAACCAGGTCTCCATGAAGCATAAAACAGAAGATAAATAAAAGTTTCTTAATTTTCCTACTAGTAGCTGAAATTCTTTACAGTTTTTTTACATAGTGGGTGCACATATGTGTATGGAGAAAAATATAGCTGGAATTGGAATCACCGCTAACAGAGATGCACAGATGACCTGGCTCCCTTTTATCTAATGTTGCATTTCACAGCATAAAAAGCAGCAAGTGAGCCCTTTACCAAATTGCCCTATAATTCCGATACTAATACTAGAAAAGTGGTAAATAGTTCAGCTGGATATTTTTCACGATACATAAGAGCTCATTTCTATTACAAGGAATGATGCCAGAAAACAGCATTAAGAAACAGACGCGAAACAAAGCACAACTAACACTGAGGCAGCTATACATGGCACCATATTGGATGCATGTGATTTATTACTAAACTCTAACCTATTGCTTATAATTTCAGTAACATACACAGCAATGAATCCCATATGCAGCCTTGATGATTATGTTTAATGCTTTATATAACCTTTTTGGGTTAGGGAAAAAAGATTTCTATTTGCTTTTTTCTATTTGTGAATGTCAAAAATGCCTAACTAAATTCACACACAAATCACAGTTAATACTGTACATGTTTGACATGCAAACATTCGGGATTACTGAAGACTGACTGTGACTGCCAGTATATCTATCTTTGTGGATCATTTTCTGTTGGGCACCAGACTATCATTTACATTTTATTCACAGTAATGTGTGTTGCATGTCTATGTTTGTGCATAATCCTCTACATGTTTTGAATTCATGTTTGTGTGGATTCCAAAATGAGCATCTGGGTAATCCCAATAAGACACTAGGAAGTCTTGATAGACTGACGGTGAATGACGAGCAGTGGCTGTCATCGCCAGAGGCTGGCTTGAGGTTCAGCACCACTGCATGCTGGACCCTGAAAACTCATTTTGGCAGATGCATTTCCTCTCTTGCTGAAGATGTACAAAAGAAAATTGATTCAAATTATTTCTGTGGGAACATAGGCCTCAAAAATTAACACAGTAAAGGAAACAAAATGTACGTGGGGCTGCAATATTTGACACCTGGCCCAGTGTCAGTGAATAGAAGCACTTTACAGAAGGTTTCTCACTTTCTTTTTTCTCTTCAAATTGCAGGGAACTGACACAGAGGAGGTGGCCCTTATTATAACCTGAAGAAGACAGGACCCAGTGCCTGACCTTGTGTTTGTCGAAAGTGCCAAAGAAGAGAAGGGGAAAAGCGTCATTGGTAAAAAGAAAATTGCTGCCTTCTCCTTTCAAGCCAGAGCCCTTTCAACCTTACTTCAAGCTACTCTTAGGGGCTCAACTGTCCCTTTGACTTCACCAGAAGCCTCCCCCAACCCATCTGCCAGCACAGATAACTGTCTGATTGTTGGCACCCACATGTTTGAGGTGACTCTGTGTGACCACCGCTGCCCATTTTCGAACAGAAGCAGTGACTTGCAAACCCATTCTGCACCATGCAGTGGAGACGGCGGCACTGTTGTCCTATTAAGATGACCTGGACCATCAAACGTTCCCTCTTTCGGACCCATGTGGCAGGTCTACTTTCTCTGGCTCTACTCTTTACATTGCTTTTATTTCTTAGCCACCAGGAATGGTTGCCTGGGCGCAGTGGGCCTCGTGACACCCCTGTAACATACACCATCAGGGGTCTTGGGAGTCCCGAGGGGGATGCCAACCAGAGCAGTTCTCTGAGGAGCCTGTGGAAGGAGACGGGGTATGGAGCCTCAAAGCCTCTTCTCAACCTCAGCTCTCAACAAGCAGAGGGGACACCAGCTCA